AAGAAGAGCCTCTAACACTAGCATTCTCTATTCTTTCTACTTATTTTCTTTTTATTTATTATAAATAATGACCTTCTAACACTTGCATTATCTGTTTTTTTTCTGTTCTATTGAATTGTTTTATTTTTATTTAAAAATGACCCTCTAGCACTAGCATTCCCTATTCTTTTTCTGTTCTTTCTATTTGTTTTCTTTTTATTTATTATAAAAACAAAATAAGCAAATAAACAAACAAAAACCTTGCTACTTATACTGTTAGGCGAAGCCCCACCCACTACTGTCCTCTTTTTGAAAAACTAAAATATGGTCACCCTACTAAAGCTAAACTTCCCTTGTAATGACTTGCAATGAGAAGCGTTTCTAAACTTGTTGTCCAACAAAAGAGAACACTATAAAGTGTTTACTCCACAACTGCTTCCTTTTGTGATCTGAAGTGGCTTCTTGTCACAGAATGAGGCAGAAAATATGTTCTATACTGTAAAAAGCATATGGTAAAAAGACTGTCGATTAGCAATGGATTATAAATATACTTAATCATGATGAAAATACCAAAGATGGCTTGAATAACACAGATAAACGATACATTGTCACAGTCGAGTGTTTATTGTCTTTGTTTTATCATTCAAAACGTTTATATCTTCTGTTTACTCAGTTACAGCGATAGCAATGCCTTTATCGAATATTAGCAAAGAGTATAGGGATTTCCTGAGTCCTATTACTTCTGTGATGCACATGTGGAGCTTCTGCGTGAGGGCGCCCTCTGGCGTCCAGTATGAATGAAACACACATTAAATGTGTTTATAGCGCTCATTAATGGCCAATCCATCCTATTTTGGGTATTTATCTATTTAATTTTTTTAAAGTATCGGTTCAGGCACCGTTTAGGCACCGGTACCGTTTTAAAAGTATCGATTTGGCACCGGTATCGTAAAAAACCCAAACAATACCCAACCCTAGATCTTACTCAGCTAAATGTGACTATTAGCTTACTTACTGTATTCCTTGTTTGCTAGCTACCTATGCACATACAGCATACAATGTTAAAAATGTTCTACATTATAAACCTTAACTCAAAAACCTTTAGCATCATACACTGTAGATAATTGTGACCCTGCCTGTGGAAACCCAGCTAAAGTATTTTTTTTTTAAACAGTGGATGAGTAATACACTCCTTAATTTGCTTAATAAAAGCCTCCTTTGAGATAGTTTTGACAGACATGTTTATTGTGTATTATTTTCTACGTGTTTATTGCTAAGTTTAGTGTGGCAGAATAGAAGCGCAGCCGTAATACGCGTATCTGGTTGCCTTGACAACCTCACGCGCCTCCTGCTGCTGCTGTATGTAATCAGAGTGTGAATTTGTAGATTTTCTATTGCAAAACTAAAATGTGTTTAAAAGTGCGACTGACCAAATCGTCAAGCTCGGTTTGCCCCCCCCTCGAACTCGAAGACATCTCTAATTTGGCAGTTGACCATCTGATCTCACTCAGTGACTCTAGGCTATGTAGGA